CATATCAAATAGCAATTAAGAAAATGTCTCACAGACATGGCCAAAGACTAATCCATTGGAAGCAATTCAACATTGTGGTTGCTTCTTCCCAGATGTGTCAAACTGCCAAGTAAAGCTAACCAGCACAGAGTGAAACAAAGTTCACTGAGCTTGTCCCATGTGAGCACTAGTGTGGGTTGGGAAACGAGTCCCTGAACAAAATGGGCATTAGCACTGCTTGGACTGTATGTGCCACAGCCACTACTCAGTGTACTATCCCAAGACCCCAGGTTGTGGCTTTCTAACTTACCATGCAAGGCTGCTGAGGCTTTGACTCGGTATGAACTTTCTCTAGCAACTTGGGTCGAGGGATTTGATAGCCATATCACTATAAAGAAGAGCACCTTGGCACCAATCTTTCTGGTCCAGACCTAGGTCACCCCCACATGCTGACCCTTATCCCACCATGGGATGATTTCTTCTTCCCACTGCCTCATGGTCCTGTTTTCCTGGTTCTTTCCATGGGCTCTTGCCCTATCAGATACAACTGTCAGTTTAAGGGGCTGTTGCGTTAGGGCTTCACTGGGCTGAGTGTGAGGGACTCCCTTTTATATCTGAGTCTTTTTTGGAGTAGAATAAGGAACGGACTCTTTAGGTCCTAGATGCAGAATTACCTCATAGAGTAGAAAATATCCCCCTGCCCTGTAGTGGGATTGGAACAAAGGCCTTAGTGCACGGAGATAGGATCAGACTCTATCTGCCTGCCCCACAGGATGCTCCGTGGCAAGCAGCATCCTTCTGCCAGCATCTTGTAGTGGATGATTTAGACCCTCATCCCTTTGCTCACATTACCTACAATGCTATCACATATCCTCAAGTAGGCATGTTTTTATAGAAGACAACCAGCAACTGCCAACTAGTGTCCCTGGTACCCCTAGAAATTTGCTGATGGTGCACCTCTCACCACTCACCCAAAAAGCTTCTTTTTGTATCAGATGGAGATTATTATTTGCCTTATACAGTTTAAGTTAGGTGTTAGAATGACAAATAACTTAAGCTTTAAAACCACATCTCACATAGGATTCTATATGTTGGATACCTTTTTTTCTGTTTACTTTCTTTTAAGTACCCATTTTGTTTGTTTGCTTTGAAAAACTCAAGGCAGGAGTCTGAGGGCAGGAACTGAAGCAGAGACCATTCAGGAATGCTGCTAACTGGCTTATTCCCCCTGACTTGCTCAGCTGTTTTTCTTACTTAACCCAGGTCCACCTGCCCAGGATAGTGGGACCCACAGTGGCCTGAACTCTCCCATATCAAATAGCAATTAAGAAAATGTCTCACAGACATGGCCAAAGACTAATCCATTGGAAGCAATTCAACATTGTGGTTGCTTCTTCCCAGATGTGTCAAACTGCCAAGTAAAGCTAACCAGCACAGAGTGAAACAAAGTTCACTGAGCTTGTCCCATGTGAGCACTAGTGTGGGTTGGGAAATGAGTCCCTGAACAAAATGGGCATTAGCACTGCTTGGACTGTATGTGCCACAGCCACTACTCAGTGTACTATCCCAAGACCCCAGGTTGTGGCTTTCTAACTTACCATGCAAGGCTGCTGAGGCTTTGACTCGGTATGAACTTTCTCTAGCAACTTGGGTCGAGGGATTTGATAGCCATATCACTATAAAGAAGAGCACCTTGGCACCAATCTTTCTGGTCCAGACCTAGGTCACCCCCACATGCTGACCCTTATCCCACCATGGGATGATTTCTTCTTCCCACTGCCTCATGGTCCTGTTTTCCTGGTTCTTTCCATGGGCTCTTGCCCTATCAGATACAACTGTCAGTTTAAGGGGCTGTTGCATTAGGGCTTCACTGGGCTGAGTGTGAGGGACTCCCTTTTATATCTGAGTCTTTTTTGGAGTAGAATAAGGAACGGACTCTTTAGGTCCTAGATGCAGAATTACCTCATAGAGTAGAAAATATCCCCCTGCCCTGTAGTGGGATTGGAACAAAGGCCTTAGTGCACGGAGATAGGATCAGACTCTATCTGCCTGCCCCACAGGATGCTCCGTGGCAAGCAGCATCCTTCTGCCAGCATCTTGTAGTGGATGATTTAGACCCTCATCCCTTTGCTCACATTACCTACAATGCTATCACATATCCTCAAGTAGGCATGTTTTTATAGAAGACAACCAGCAACTGCCAACTAGTGTCCCTGGTACCCCTAGAAATTTGCTGATGGTGCACCTCTCACCACTCACCCAAAAAGCTTCTTTTTGTATCAGATGG